ACTCCCTGCGGTTCCACTCGGGGGCACGTAAACAGCAGAGATAGAATGGCCTGAGACTAAAGCATAGCAGTTCAGCGTCCGCATCACAGAAAGCCTCCTGGTATCGTATATTGCGTGCACCACAAGTCATTGATGTACATACAAAGTGTAAATGCAGCAGCACTGTTGCCCGGGTTGCAGCAGAGTTGCGCCACCTGTGGCCAGAGTGTGTAGGCAGTTCCTGTATGACGAAGGCATTGATGCCATTCACTGGCCCTCTCATTCCCTTGATCTAAATCCAATTTAGCACCTATGAGACATTATGTATCGGTACACCCGATGCCACCAAGTACCGCCACAGACTCTCCAGGAGCTTACTGATGCCCTGATCCAGGTTTGGGAAGAGATCCCCCAGGACACCATCCACTTACTCAACAGGAGCATGCCCAGACATTGTCAGGGGTGCATATAGGCACGCAGGGGCCATACACACTACTGAGTCACATTATGAGTTGCTGTGATAAAATTTACAGTTGTTGGATCAGCCTGTGATTTTAAAATTTTTACTTTGATTTTCGGTGTGATTTTGAACCCAGCCCTCAGTGGGGTGATGATTTTGGTTTCCACTGACCGTTGTTATGTCATTTTGTTCTCAACATATTATACAATGTACATCAGTAAAGATTTTCTACTTTTATAATTTGTTCATCAAGATCTGGTGTGTGGTTTAAGTGTTCCCTTCATTTTTTTGAGCAGTGTATATGGAGTGTTTTGTGTTTCAGGCCGCTGCTGTTTCAGACCAGTGAGCTGATAGCCAGCAGTCCAGCTGTGGGCGACCTGATCCCCTACAGCACCCTGCTGCACTTCTTTTTCACCAGAGCCCCTCCTGAGCTCAAGTCACCTCACCAGGCGTGTACACACACACACACACACACACACACACACACACACACACACACACACACTTTGTCTTTTTATTCTTGTGACAACCTTGATTAACATTATGCATTCCCTAGCCCCCCAATCCTAACCTTAACCATCACAGCTAAATACCTAACTGCAACTGTAACCTAAACCCAATCCTAACCTGAACCTGCAGACCCTGTCTTAACCTTTCAGCAGTCCTTTGAAGCAGTTACAACTATCCAAAGTGATCTCACAGTGCAGATATGTTGGCACCATGATGTCGCTTTGCAGTGTATATCCCTATATCACTAAAACAAGCATTCTCCCCCACAGAGAGCAGAGTGGTCTATTGCCCGTTACTCCCAATGGCTGGATGATCATCTGTCTGAGAGGGACAGGCTCACTCTCATCAGGTAACCATTTGTTTCATCAGAATGGGAGGCTTTTTTTTCTTTTCTTTTTCTTTTTTTTTTTTTTTTTACATTTTCTTAAACAACATTATAGCAGAAAACACTGACACAATAGTCAAGTCAAGTCAATTTTATATCAATCGGACAGAGATGATCCAAAGTTCTCTGACAGCACACAGAGAAAAGCAAAAATGATAACATCATTAAAGTAAAGTAGCTAAAATTAGCGCGTTCACCCAGGTGTTATGTTTCCATCAGTGCTGATCAGAGCCTGAGCCGATAAATACTTGTGACTACTGCAGAGTCATTTGACCCGGGTGTGACTGTGATTTAACTTTTCCCATTACCTTAAAAAACACACAGATGTAAGCAGGTGTTAGGCCCTGATCACACAGACAGCCTTTTGGAGGTTGCAAAACACAGGATGCGCCAACTTTTTAAAACTGCTGTGCCCTTTTTGTGTAATCAATCTAATGCTTTTTTAAAAATGTATTATTTCACAGTATCAATTTCAATCAATCAATCAATTCTATTTATAAAGCCCAATATCACAAATCACAATTTGCCTCACAGGGCTTTACATCATACAACACCTCTCTGTCCTTTGGACCCTCACAGCAGATAAGGAAAAACTCCCCCCAAAAAAAACCTTTAATGGGGAAAAATATGGTAGAAACCTCAGGAAGAGCAACTGAGGAGGGATCCCTCTTGCAAAAGATGTCGTACAGAACAGATCCACATAATAAATTTGCAGTATTCCATATGACAAAATGATACATAAAGACAGAGACAGAGAGAGAAATTGAGACAGAGCCAGAGAGAGATGCAGGGCAGACAGTAATGATAATAGCTACAATAGCATTAATTTAAGCAATAATATTATGATAATAATAATAACAGTGATTGTGGTACAATATGTTGTAAGTATATATTAAAATATGATAGTGTATGTATGTGACAATACTCAAGTGTGTATAATAACAGTAGAAGTATGACTAATAATAACAGCAGCAGTAGGAGGCATCAGGCAGGACCACGGCAGCAGCACAACCACGACACATGATCCAGGCGTAGCTGTGATACGAGTTAACCTGCGAGACAGTGGAGCAAAAAGGCTTTGGAGAAGAAGCCAGTCTGCAGTAAACCCAGATTAGCGAGATGCAGTAACAGGACTTGAATGTTAGCAAGTCAAGAAGAGCCTACTTTTCAGAAACTGAGGAGAGAGAAGGAGAGATTGGGCTCTGTGTATTATAGGAGGTCCCCCGGCAGACTAGGCCTAAGTCAGCCTAACTAGGGGCTGGTCCAAAATAAGCCTGAGCCCTAACTATAAGCTTTATCAAAAAGTAAAGTCTTAAGTCTAATCTTAAATGTGGAGACGGTGTCTACCTCCCAGACCGAAACAGGAAGATGATTCCACAGAAGAGGAGCCTGATAGCTGAAGGCTCTGGCTCCTGATCTACTTTTGGAGACTTTAGGAACCACGAGGAACCCTGCATTCTCAGAGTGCAGTGTTCTGGTGGGATAATAGGGCGCTAAGAGCTCTCTAGGATATGACGGAGCTTGACCATTTAGAGCTTTGTAAGTTAGGAGAAGGATTTTAAATCCAGTTCTGGATTTTACAGGGAGTCAGTGCAGAGAAGCTAAAGCAGGAGAAATATGATTTTTTTTCTTAGTTCCTGTCAGTACACGAGCTGCTGTGTTCTGGATCAGCTGGAGAGTTTTTAAAGACTTATTAGAGCTACCTGATAATAGGGAATTACAGTAATCCAGCCTAGAGGTAACAAAAGCGTGGACCAATTTTTCTGCATCTTTTTGGGACAGGATAGGCCTTATTTTTGCAATATTACGCAGATGAAAGAACAGAAGTTAGTAGCTAGTTCCTAAGATGGGCAGGTAGAGGGTACTCGCTCCAGCTCTGGTTGAGCGTGAGAGGCTGTCAGCAAAGTTTGTTGGGCACAGGGAAACAGAGATCTGTGTGGGTACTTGAGACCCTGAAAAAGAGGGTGGATCATGGGGAGTACCACCAGTTGGTCCAGGAGCTTCACCTCCATAATGGCCATTTCAAGTACTGCACTTAAATGCTTCCACGCCTGCTGTTTTCAATTGAGATGGTGGTAACTGCAGTTTTAAAGCTGTATAGCTCTGGGTATCCAGCAACCACTACCACCAGTTTCTCCTCTGTTGTTTACCAACTGTAAACTTGTTGTGACCACCACAGAAGGCCTGCCTCTCAAATCATCCGATCGGACAGTGGGGAAAGAAGCAGAGATGTCATAGGGTGCTTTTCCGCTCTGAGTTGAAGTTTTTTCAACTCGAGGAGTTCAGAGCACTTAGGCAAAAACGCCAGGTGCCTAGAGTGCAGAAACATGAGGCATGTAGCAACACAGAAACAGTGAGCAAAAAGCTTAACTCATTAAAAAACTATTAAAATAAACAGTCATGGAAAGGGACTGAGTGCATGTATGAACATACTATTCATACTGTGCATTGAAACAATACTTTGATCTTCTCAAACATAATGCATTGTCACTGAGTAAACTAGCTGACATCATCTAAAGTGACTAAAAACAGCTTTACAGCAACCAGTTCAAGCATCTCTTTTTAATTGTATGTGAGCGTGCTAGTTCTCTGATAATTCTCAGTGCTCTAACAGTAATTTATCTTGATCTGCATCTCAAACTATACCATGTTGGGTCCTTGAACTTAAGGAAAGTGGGCCAGGAATGTCTTTCAATTCGATGTTGAAATGTTTAAATGGTTGTTGACTTTTTGGTTAACCTGAGCACTTGTGCACATGCAGCACACAATGAATCATTGACATCAACAGACATGTTCCTTTGTCCACTCTGAAACTTGTGTAAAGATACACTCACTCCCATCTCAAAGCCAGCTGTACACTGAACATGTAATCTGCTAAATGAAACGTGTTGCTCATCATCAAGTTTAACTGTGCTGTGTTTTCCTCTGTTCTCCTTTAAGGGGTGCTCTGGAGGCCTATGTGCAGTCCGTGAGGGCCCGGCAGGGGAAGGAGTTTGCGCCCATCTATCCCATCATGCTCCAGCTGTTACAGAAAGCCACCAGTGGCTCACAGGAGGCCAGAGTCTGAGTGGGATGACACAGTTGTAGATGTCATGGTATCAGGGCATTACACTAAGCTTTTGTAGTATGTTAGAGGGTAGGTGAAGGCAGAGAATGTTGCTTGTTGCAATCTGGTTTAGCGCTAAATAAAGCCTCTTTTCTTATTTGGAACTATAGCAGCTGCATCCAAGCTAAGACGTGATCTTTTCTTTTCTTTTTTAACATACATACAGATTTATGTATGTTTACATACATACAGATTTTAAAATTTTTACTTCTAACACTGACAATAAAAGATTTGGATTTGCAAAGCTGAATATAACACCCATCCATTGTAATACAACCAACTAACAGACTGTACTTCCAGGATTATTTGAAACTATAGAGCTCTAAGAATGTCTGTAAAGGTTCATCTCAGTGGCCCAGGTGCTGTGTTCTCTGTAGAAAGCTGAATCCAAACCACCATTCATATGAAGGAATTCTGGGGGGTCATTTCTACTATTTTTCAACTGTAGAACAGGAAAATGTTTGAATCCCTAATCCAGTGATTTGGATTCTGCTTTGTCTGCACACAGCTGTAGAAATGGGAATGTCAAGTTCATCAATGACTTAAGAATAAAATGGGAAAATGTTTGCAGGACTTTTATTTGTACAGAACTAAATTAGAAGCAGAGGGATGGATCCCAGTATGACATGAGCAGTATACATTTCAAATTCAGATAGGCCATTTCCACTGGTTGGGAGGAGGCTCTTCTGTCAGGGGCTCCCACGGTTTCCAATCAGACATCTTCCTGGATAGAGCCAGCTCACACTCCGCCTGCACACAGGACACACACCATATCCAATAACACTTTGATAAACTCAGATTAAATCATCCCAGGAAAAACAGCAAATTCAGATACAATGCTTGACATCTGGGGAAATACAGGAATTAGCTTCCTTGCAGAGTGAGTTGAGAAGACTGATGCTACTAATGTCTGTTCTTCCAGTATGGAGTAGGGCCTGGAGGCCATTAGCTTATCAAAAGTACGTTAGCAGAGAGACTGAAAACTGGATATGTCTCAAGATCAGAAGACACCTACTAGCACATCTAAAGTGCACCAATTTAAAAAAAACACATGTGAAACAACAATTTGTTAAAAGGTAGCGAAAAGGAGCGCACACACTAATTGATATACAGATCAGCACACACACCATGATCAGTCTGTTAACTTTAACAAATCTCTCAGACTTTCTGTAAGTGTTTGTAGCAGACTCCAATAGATATCCATCAACAGTAGATGGATACAGGTCTGTACTACGAAGCCAGTTCAGCACACCCAGTAGATCATTTTATCATCCCCCTTTGGTAACCCATTTTATCAGTCCTCTGGATACCAGCGACATCATCAGAACCATGAATGAAGTACTTCATATGGTATGAGATAAAACAGTTGTTCTGCTTATGGGACAGCAAAAAATCATATTCATCAGAGTAAAATTTAAATGATAGCCTGTAAAAAGATGTAGAAACACTAGAAAGAATTTCCACATATTAAAAGAAGGCCATGGCCTAATATAGATGTAGGTATTTTTAAATCTGACTTTAGTATTGGGAGTATTTTTTGCTATTTAGTTGGATAAAGAAGAAACTATATTACATAAAACACGTCAAAGTCATGTCCGACTGTTTCTGCAACCAAAGTTAAGAGTGGAAAAGTAGTTAAAGGATAACTTTGGCTTTTCAACCTGGACCCTATTTCCCTGTGTAAATTGGTCAAAGCCACTGATATGAACAACAGTTTTTGAGAGTGGCTCGGATTGTTCTCAAAAGTGTCTCTTTACCTTTCACCTAATGCGGTTTGTTTGGTATTGCCTCATTAAGCAGAGGTCTCTTTCTGAAATATCATGAGATGTCACTTTTTGCAGGAAAACAACAGTGGAAATGTGTGTGAGGTTTGAAGAGACACAGCCAGTATTGTTTACACTAAATGTAGTTTAGTGTTATCTAAAAAGATATTTAGTGTCATGGATAATTATTTACCTGATTTCAATCATGTGGATGAGGCTTTTGAATTTGACCGCCACCCGTATCTATGTGAGCCGAAGTATACGGATGAAGAGCGGACGAGGAGCGAGAGTGGAATAAAAGGGAGCAAGGCAGGGCTCCAGACTGCGGCCAAATGGTGGAAAAATATATTTGTGCTTTGGTATTATACAACCTGGAGCAGGTTAGCTGTTCAGCAGAAGTTACCACAGCCACTTATCCCACTAAAAAGTAAAGCAAACGCAGGGATAACCCTGAGGTTACCACACTAACCCCAAATCCTGCTTCAAAGTACAAGCCTTTGGAAAACGTATGTATGTGTGAGTGTCTCTGTGTTTGTGTCTGTGTGCATGTGTGCAGGGCTTTAAATAGTGTTTTCTGTGTACATGCACTGGTGCATGTAACTTAAAAATGCATGCACCTTTATTATTTTTTTTACTGCACCTGGGCGGGCAGCGGGTGAGAACAAAAATATATGTAATATTTTTCAGAATAAGAATGTGTGTGTGTGTGTGTGTAAATCTCACTAATGTATGCTAATTTATGATGAAAAGAAAGAGAAATGGTGGAGACACATGGGCTCCAAGGACCATAAACTTCTCTGTAGAGTTGGAGTGAGTGAGGTCAACCAGCTGTAAATCAAACTTGTCCTGGATAATCTGAATGGCAACGGCACGTTCTGAGCACAAACAATCCTTTAACAACACCTACTTTATGAATATCTTCTCAGTGTCAACGTCTACTGACCCACACTGGGTACAACTTGTGTCTTGATGCCAAAGTGGTATCTACATAGCCCAACGGCTGGAAAGAAGAGATTATCAGTGGCTTACCTGGAAAATAACTTCCTCAATCTGTCCACAGTTTATCTTCATCTCCAGCTTCTCCACATCAGGCTCCTGTAAAGAGAGAGAAACATACTGTGATCAACACATACATTTCCTCCAGCATCAAGAGTCATCCAGCTCTTTAACCAGGGTATATTACCATGGTAACCTGCTTAGCAAATTAATTTCACAGGATCGGCTCAAAACCTGCCTACTGACCAATCAGATCACTGAAAATACGGTCATCATCCCAACACTATCTGGGTTTAAGATCAAGTACTGACAGAAAAAGGATACATGAAGCATTTCAGTCACAACGACCTCATCAGGCGTCCCACACAGACAGTTTTATAATCCTTCATATTTTTTCCATTCTAGTTTGTTCATCATGAGAGAAACAAACAGGAGCAACCAACATGCTGAGAATACCAAATGTATTGTAAAAGACAAACAATAAGGGCTGCACTTTTTACAGCCACAACCTTACTTTTCAGAATCGATTGATATTTCTACTGTTTCTCTGCCCTCTTCTTTGATTTCACTTGGGTAATTCTGTCTGTTTTGCCTCCAGTAAAAGGTCATCTCCTTTTCATCGTTCTGATGATGCTTGTATGTAAGAACCTGCCAATGACAACCGGTCAATGTAAATATGATCATGAGTTTAAGCTGTTACTGCTGAGTTACTATAGTGGCCCCCAGGTCTTATTTTAGCTGTAAGGTGGGGCTCCTCAGGGACTGAAGCTCTTATGTTTCCGATTTTAACAATCTAACCTGTAACAACTGATGAACAAAGAACACATTTGGGCAATGCAGACTTGCTAATTGAGCAATGTCTGGGAGCCACTACTAGTCTGCTCCTTGAACAGGTCAAATCCAAATGTGTGTCCTTCCTGCCTCCCTGCTCATTTAAATCCTATGTCCCCTTTAAGACCCTGACACACCAAAACCAACACTCAGCCGTCAGTTAAGGCTTTGTAAGAGTCCAAAAAGAGAATAAACGCCTCTGAGTGTAGTGAATCTGCATAGTCTTATAAAGTCCTCATCAATTGTGACTATGTGTTTTTTAATCTTAATAATAAACAGTTCACAAGAAGGGCCTGCCTCTCAATTGATGAATTCTGATTTGTACAAGTTGCTATAAAAGGAAAAAACAAAAATTAGATAGTAATTTTTGGTCTGTACATTTACTACCATTAATATTAAAGGCGCTGTATGTAAGAATGTGGCCAAAACAGTTACTGCACTCAAATTCAAAATACTGCCGCGAGTCGTACAGTACAGGCCAAAAGTTTGGACACACCTTCTCATTCAATGCGTTTTCTTTATTTTCATGACTATTTACATTGTAGATTCTCACTGAAGGCATCAAAACTATGAATGAACACATGTGGAGTTATGTACTTAACAAAAAAAGGTGAAATAACTGAAAACATGTTTTATATTCTAGTTTCTTCAAAATAGCCACCCTTTGCTCTGATTACTGCTTTGCACACTCTTGGCATTCTCTCCATGAGCTTCAAGAGGTAGTCACCTGAAATGGTTT